TTAATCAAAGAATAAATCTGGGTGGTCAAAAAATTTCGGGTTTTAAGTAAAATAATTTCATTTTCTATGAAAAACTATTTTGACTTTTTTCTCCGAAATTGTAATTTCAGGGCTCCAAAATAATTTTGCATGCAAGTATACTTTAGACCATTCTTTAGTTAGAAAGTATGGATATTTGATAGACTGAATAGTATGAGCTCCAGTTATAATTAAATCTAATTTTTAATAAGGCTAATTGTTGAGTTGTCATGAGTAAACTTTGTTTACATAGGAATTGAAGTTCTTTTTAAGTTATGCATGCATGAATATAACCTGTTTTAAATTATTTTTTTAAATTATAAGTTGAGGTTGTCAAGTAATATAAGTTAAATAAGGTTTTAATCAATCTGCATGGACTATTTCTTTTAATTGTTGTCTAAATTGATTGTATAATACATATACTTCTTTATCCAAGTATTTATGTATTTTAAATGATCCTTTTTATTTAGTTTCCAATTTACCAGATCATTGTTTATCTAACTTGGAATTATATATCAATACTAGGTCACCAGGTTTATATTTTACTATTTTAGTTAACTTGGTAAAATGTTAGACTTTTTGTTGTTTTTGTGACTTTCTAATATTATTTTATACCATCTCATGATGTTGTGACAATTTATCTACAATTTCACAAGCTCTATAAATAATAGTATTTCTCAATTTAAACTCATTAATCAGTTTGTTCTCAGTTATTTCAACTGGTGATGTTGCATCTTGTTCATATAATAAAAAGAAAGGGTGATTTAGTTGTATTGTGTTTGTGTGTTCTATAGGTAAACAATACAGTTGGTATATATTTATCCCAATTCATGATATCTCTTAGTTTTCCTAATACTGTTCCTAGAGTTCTATTCAAGTGCTCTACTATACTATTAGTTTGAAAATAGTAAGGTGATGAAAATCTTTGTTTTATTTTGAATTTTTCACATAAATGAGTTGTTATTCAATTTTTAAAATAGGTGCCATAATTAAATAAGATAGTTTGAAGTGCCCCATGTTGACAAATTATATTTCATAGATAAAATCAGCTACAGCTTCAGCACTAGCTATAGAAGTACTTGGCTTCAGGCCATTTATTATATAGTTAATGGCAACACTATATACAGTTGAACCTGTATATAAGCATGGTGTTGGGCCAGAAAAATTCTACACTTATAGGCAGGTATACTTATGTAAATTAATGATGTTACAAAAAAAAATTAATGTAAAAAATTATTTTTTTTATTAATAAAGAATGGAAATGGATGAATAATGATAAATGGAATAAAAAAATGATTGATGATTGAAATAATGGTGATGATGTGATGATGATGAGGTGATGATAAGTTTTGCATTACTGATACACGTGATTATGCTTGTATATGTCTATATAATCTAGAATATTTTTATGCACATTATGTGTATGCTTATAACTTATATGGCCCAACTCTGGTCACAAAAATTTATGCATTTAGGCAGGTTATGCTTATATGCAGTATGCTTTTATACAGGTTCAACTGTAGATTTGTTATAGTTTTTGTATTTATGACTTTTATAGTATAGTTTTGTCTTTGTGACCTGTCTTAGTGACTTTTCTTAGTCTTAGTGACATAACCCTTTTATAAAAATCTTACCTCTTCAGCCTCTTTCAAGTAAATCTGTATTTATAAAACCTTCATATTTAAACTTCCTTTATAGTATAACCCATTCAACAATAGCATATTTAGTATAGTGTTTTAGTTTAGCTATACATATTTTTCCTGCTTTTAGTTGATTGTTTATTGAATTCCTTTGAAGGTGAATTCAGTCAACAACATTTAATCTTAGATATTTGTAAAGGTATTCATCCACCAGAGATTTATGTAAATTTAATGAAATCATGTTGGCAAAGTGATCCCTCTGAAAGACCAACGAGTAAAGAAATATATGATATTATTGCTAAATGAGATATTTATTATGATGCAAATTCAGAATTTATAAGATCTTCAAAAGGCTGATATGGAAAATTATATAAATAATGAAATATCAACAAAACATCCCAAAGCCTACGATATAAGTAGACCATTAAGTAAACATATCAATACTGAAAAATTACTTTCAAGAGATATTAGAGAAGGGGGTTTAGCTATGGAATGGCCAGGTAGATTTTTTTTTTAATTAAACTTTAAACTCATGATAAATTAATTTTATTAATAATCTTTAAATTAATTTAAAGATTCTAGTTCAGTAAATTTTAACGAAATCAATGAAGAATTAAAATAAATAACTCTAATTTACAATGAAGGGAATGTTCAGATTTCAGCTTATTTATTGGTCGCTGAGTTTACATATAAGAATAATCTCATTTTGCAACATTTTTTTTTGGCAATACAGTTGTTAATTAATAAATATTTTCAGTAATTAATGAATAAATCGAAAGGAGTTCGTCAAAATATTTTTTTTAATTTGGCTTTACTAGAGGCAACAATTTTCAATATAAAAAGTTTGGAGATGTCAAGTTCATTAGAAGTAATCAAAAATCAAAAATATCTGAATTCTCCAATTTTTTAATGAACCTGTTCTAACATAATATCTCTGAATAATATATTGAATTAAAATTTATATGTTAGGAAGCTTTGATGTTTTGACATGATCACCATTGAAAGTAATTTCGTTGATTTAAAGATACTATGAAATTGTAAAATAACTGAATAAACTTTATAAATGTTAAGCGTTGGCAAGAGGAACTTTTCCATCAGTTTTTAAAATTAAAAAAAAATATTTTTGAATCAAATTTATGATGAAGCATCTTTCAATTCTTTAATATTGTAGGAGATTCAAAAATTTAAATCTTATTTATTTTAGTTAATTATTGTGAACATTTATTAGTATTAGTAATAATAAATAATTGTTTATTTGTTTGAATAGATTTATTCTCAAAAAAAATATTTTTCAACCGAAATAAATGTTTATCAGAAGGCGCAGAGTGTAAAGATACTAGAAATTCATTAGAACGAATTGGTTTAGGATATACCTCACTAACTCCGCAATAACATGTTTTCTCGGTTTTCAGAATTTCCCCTTAATCGTAAAGCAAAGCCAAAACCTAAAAGTGAATACTTTGGATAATTATCAATGGCCCAATTAAATGCCTTCACCCTACTTAAAATGGAATCTTTCAAATTTGAAGTTTTCAATGAAAATATAAAAATTATCTTCTGTCACTTTCCGTTGTTCATTATTTTTATCCCACTCGAGAGGATTATATCCTCCAAGAATTTCTCCAGTCACTTTCACTTTTAAAATAATAATCGCGTTAGATACTTTATCACAAATATTATAAATATTTTTAACATCAAATTCATCTCTAGATCCTCCAGCAATTAATTTAAAGTTATATGGATTATTTATATATACGTAGTTTCTTTTTATCAATCCAGAATGAAATTTCTAGTGAATGCTCATCAGTAATATTATTTGGATTTATATTTTAGTCGGAAAGAGTTGCATTTAAAATTTTACGAGGTGGAAATATGAAATCAATTTGGTATTAATATTTAAAAAAATTGATGTTCAAGAAGTTGTATGGATATAATTTTTCTAATACATATCCCCAGAAATGCTAAAATATCTAATTAATGGAAGACATTGTTTCAAGGTTTCCTTCAATGTTAAAAAATTGTTAGTTTATCGAAACTAGTAGTAAAATTGGATTTTTAGCTTTACCCCATTGAATTACATATTCCCAAATTTTACCTTCTAATTGTAAATCATCTCGCTTAAGAATGGCACCTTCAGGGAGAGAATGAAAATCGTCAGATACGAAAATGTATTATTACAAAAATCTTGAATAATTTCGAGGTTTTAGACTTGATAACTTGTCCGGTAAACTTGAGCAAATTTTAGTCTTAACCATGAAACTTTATTATTGACAAGGTGAGTTTGGAGATGTTAACCAATTCATCCAGTTCAAGTTCATTAGAAGCAATCAAAAGCTCAAAGATCATAGAATTTTCTAATTTTTTTAACGAACTTATTCCACCTCAGATATACTAAATACATTAAACATTTTAATAGAGATATTAGTGTTTATCATTGTCAATACCTTGACGTGGTTGGTCGTCATTAAAAGGAGTTTCGTTGAGTTTCTTTTTAAAGTAAGGACTATGAGACTATAAATATAGGAATGAACTTTAAAAATTCGATTATTAGGAGCTTTACCAATTTCAATTTTGACATTATAATCAATAGGGTCTTCAAGAAGTTGTAGAAGTTATGTATGATCGTTTGATAAACGTTCCAAAAATTTAATAGTCATTTTCTTAAATTAAACGTTAAGACCATAAAACTGAGTAAAATTACTTGTTTAAATCGTGCCACAAATACATAAAATAGGCATCCAAGTATAACGTTTTTGATAGATCTATGGTTATCTTTTGATATATCTAGTTATATTTTTTTGATACTTTAAGTAACGTGCGCAACTAATTGTTCGATGGATACGTGGTTTTCATATTCTACATCACGTGAACAATGTACAGTATATTAAAAAATAACCATAGATCTAATTAAAAGAAAAAGAGAAAACTTATTTTTCACCTTGATAATAGCATCACGTCGTCACACTTTATCATTTTGACTTAATTTTTTTAGGCTAGAAACCCTATTTGTCACATTTATTTACCTGGGATCACCTGATATTCATTTGGTAATTACATGAAAGCAATCTTACTCGAGTAAAATCCATTCTTTTTATTTGTTTACTAGGTTAAGATTACAATACTATAATGATGCATTGTTTATTATTATTATTTAATTGCTCGTCCTAGAGAAAACCATAAAATAAGAGTAGTTCTTTTATTTTCAGAACAATTTTAAGAATAAATTTTTTAAAAAAAGATATTAATACATAAAAAATATAAAAAAATATGTACTGTATATGAAAAATACAAATTTGCAAAAAAAAAGATATTACGTAATTATAAATATATCCATATGATTTACTAACTATTTTGATCATTTTGACTATTTAAAGTTGTCAATAAAGTTCTAAAATTATTTTCTAATGAATCAATTCTTGCCTTGAATTCATGACTAAATTTATCTTGTAGTGTTGATAATTGATCATCATCAGTAAAAGGTTCATTGCTCGATTTATTCTTGAATGATGACGATGATTTCGAATTTATTTGTGATTTCTTGTTGGATTTAGAAGTCACTTTTAATTCAAAAATTTCTTCATCAATTAATCTAATTTTATCAAATTTATTATATTTGGTCGTAATAGGTTCAATTTCTAAACTATCATCATTTAGTATATGTTTATATTTTTTCGAATAGGAATAATTACCTAAATAAATTTAAATAAATTTAATTCATGTAGGGATTAAAGAGAATATTATTCTCATTATCAATTATTATTATTACCTGCATCATCATCATCACCATCATCATGGTCGTCACTATCATATTCTTCATTACCATCGGAGTCATTCAATTCGAATAAATTCTCACCCATAAGACGTGATCTTTGTTTCTCATTATCCTTTTTAGTTTCCTCGAGCCAGTTATCAATCAGATCAGGATTAGGAATATAATAAATGTATCTAGGATTACCTTTTTTACTACCAAAAGGTTTTTCTAAAGTTTCATATTCCGCAATAAGTTCGGCACGATATTTTTGAACTGCTGCACGACCTTCTTCATTTGCCGTTTCAAATGCACCACTATTGAATTAAGCGAATTAAGAGAAAATTAGGTTGGGTAATTTTTTACAATTTTACAAAATTTAAAATATGCATAATAAATTATACAACTTTAATAATAATGATGATGATAATGATGATGATGATGATAGAAATATACTTACTTCATAAATGCGATCAACATATTTTGAAAAATTAACACTAATATTATACTTCCCAATATACTTATTATAATTACAGAATAATTATCCCATTGGCCTAATTGATCCCATCGTCCATTGGTCCAAAAGAATACAGCTGCTACGGATGAGAGAATATGTGAATAGTAATTATCAAGATAGCTAGATTTATCAATAACCTGAGTAATTTCTATATTCGAGTATAAGCCTGGATCCGAAGTATCTTCGACTTTATAAGTAGAACGTTGCAAACTTTCATCATCTGCATGATTAAGAAGAAGAAACCTGAAAAAGATTATAATAATAAAATATATTGATAAAATATAATTAGTAAATGTTTAAAATAATAAAAAAAAAAAATTAAAATTCATTATAATTACATAGCGTGACCAAATGCCAATATCGCAATCAACATGAAAGCAAAGAATGGCCAAATATTATTTAAAATACTTGTAATTATATAAATAAAACGCCCTGGGGCTTCAAAATATCTCAATAGTAATAACTGTAAATAAAATAAAATAATAAAAATTTGCTTCGCCAGAGAGAAAGGAGAAAAAAGCAAAAGTTTGAGAAAAAAACCTACCACTTCAAGCCACATAACTAAAGCTGTAAATGCCAATACAGTATTATATACAGAATATTTCAAATTTATTACTTCATAAATATTTAAAATGCTCACTATATTAACTGCAAATGGTAATAAAACGGATGCTATATCAAAAAAACTATAAATACTAATATATTTATACCATCCTGCTCTTTTTAATTGCACAATCTCTGTAACAATTAAATACCATCCAGTATAAACGTATACAAAGAAGGAAATACTTTTTATTACAGCTGCAGAATCTGATTTAAATAAATTTGTTGATTCTCCCGTGAATGAATACGAAATAACTGTTATAGTATATGTGATAGCATATAATATGTACGTAAGGATATGACGAATAAAATGTCGACGAGCAGCTGACCATTTAAAAGCCGAGACCGCCATAATTGCAGGTGTTCGATAGATTTCATTACTTTCCTCTTCATGAATAACGCGAAGGAAAGGACTCTTTTCACTAGTATCTTTAATAACATTTCCACGTGGCCACCAAAATATTCGAAAAAGTGTAAATAGAATCCATAAATAATTTTCATTATGATCTTTAAGACCTTTGGGATATACCGTAAAATCGGGTAAAGGGACTTTATAAACTTTACGATCATTGTATGAAGTACTAATTTCTACCAATGTATGATGTGGAATAATTTTTTTAATCCTTTTAAAAAATCTAAAAATTTTTAAAATTAGAGAATTAGAAAAGACAACTCCCTTTATGATGTTTATGAATAATAATAATAATAATAATTTACCTTCCAAGTTGTTTTTTAAAGAAAGACCTTATACTTTCTAATAGTGTAATCTTGGGCTTTGATGCAAGACGTGGTTTTAATATTAACGCATGTATCATAGACACTTTATTTCCTTCCTTTTGATCAAGAGAATTAATGTGTAATGGTGGAGTGTAAGCTTCGGTAACTCCGAAACATGGTTTCTTGAATAAACTTTGAACAAATCCATCTTTCGAAAAATTAAAAGAAAAAGAAATTTAATTAATTAATTGATATAATTTGATAATTTGATAGTAATTAATTAATATCATATAATTCGAATAAAAGAAATTAACTTACTTAATCGATAATCATATAGTAAAGGTATTGCTTTGGTTACAGTGAACATCCAACCATCATTATTATATTCTTTGGCATTATCCGCATAATAATCTATTAAATATTTTAAAATTGCTGTAGAATCAACTCTTCGCTGAGTACATAAAATGGCATTATGTAAATCTGACTTCGATTTTAATTTTAATTCTGGTGAAGTTTTAATGGTTTCAGTTGTTTTTAAGGTTTTTTTAAGTTTTTCAATTGATCGTGACATATTAATATTTGATTTATCATCATTATCTACTCTCACCCGTTTATATAACCTTGGGACATGAATATTACTATTTTTTCCATTAATCTTCTTATTTAAAATTTGTTTGATTAATCTCTCTTGATGACTTTTGATAAGATATTTCATAATTGAATATCGAATATCTGTTAATCTAAATATTCCATATTTTGTAATATATTTTCGTACTAATCTTTGTGTACATTCAATTAAATATTCAATTCGATTAGAATTCTTATGACCTGCAACAATATGTTTCATCTCTCCTAATACATAAAGTGATCGACATGCCCCTTCAAGAACATTTATATTATTTGGCCAATGTATCGTCATTGATTTTGTTGTAGAAAATTTGGTTGAAGGTATTGAAAGATTTAACACAAATTCTCGTTCTCCGACTTTTAATTCTTGAACTCGTAATCCGGTAGATCCCACATTTTTCGATGCCCAAATATATTCTAGTACTCGATCACGTTTATCTAGTTTTTCTATAGTATTATAATATTTATCTTTATATTTCCATATTTGTACAGTGTTATGAGAAATAACAAGTTGAGTACTTTTAGTAGAATCCAACCAAATTGATAATCGAAAATATTGATTTTTCGAATGCCATGGTTCAACGTTATGTATAATTAGTTGATTTTTTGTTAATTCTGATGTATCAAATCTTTCCCCATTTAGATTATAAATTGCATGAAAAACGTCATCCTCAATAATATCAATTTTAGTCATTTCCTTTGATGGAGGATTTCTAATTAAAGCCACATCTTGATGATCTAATACTGAAATAATATTTCCACTATCTGTAACCACTGACATCTTTCCATGGGAATTTATTAATCGATGTGTCGCATCCATTTTTAGAGGTTCCTGAGATTCGGAATAATTAATTTGACGTATGGAATCTTTAAATGTGGTATATAAATCCCATACTACAAATATTTGGTGTATTGAAATTTCACCTGATAAATTTTCGGTTTCTTCTTCAAGAGCTATTAAAAGTTTCCTATCATTATCAATAAACTCTATAGCCACAATTTTATAAATTCTTCCTCTGCGACCTTCTAATTGTTTGGTGGTAATTTCTAACCCATTTTCTAATAAATATAACGTAATGCTGATAGTTCCCCGACAAAATGCTAAAATTCCTTCATTCTGAGAGATGGCAAAGACTGGAGAACCACGAATTATGTTAGGAGCTACCGAAGATTCATGACGTTTAAATAACATCTCTAGATCACCAGTAATTAAACTATACATTTCAATGATTTGTTGTCGATTTTTAAATGAATGTGCCATAAAATGATTTCTAATAATACTCGTGTGTAAGAGGTTTAATGCATTTTGCCCATGATCTAAACGTGAAAGACTAATTGAAAGTTGTTGAGGTAATTGAAATTGTTCAATCTTGGCAAATGATGGATTTAAAAATCGTCTAACTGTTTGTTTCAATATAATATTATCATTATTAAAGGTTTGTTTGTAGATTCCTGATGCATTAACTACTATGATCACTGTTTTGTCAATTAATAATTTAGATCCTGATATTTTAACATCACTATCTAGAAATCTTATTACACCACCAATAATTCCTAAAGAAGTATGTATTTCACTTTTATATGTAGTAGAAATAATCCACGTGTGAGATTGATTACCGTTTTCGCCTAATTCTTCGTCATCATCACGATTAGGATTTTCGCTTTGATCGTAAAGAATTTCACGTGCATCAAAACAAGATAAAGCAACAAGACGTTCATTATCATCGTTTATACAATTAGATATTGCCAAAGAATAACAACATCGTTTATCATAATCTATATCTTCACATTGAAATGTAGAAATAGATTTACTAAAATTTTCAATATCATATAACGTAAATTCGCACTTTCCTATTATTTTTAAAGATTTACAGTATTAAAAAAAAAATTATTAAAAAGAAATTTATTAAAAAAATTTATTTAAAGATTTATCAAAAAGAAATAATCGACATAATAATAATTAATAATTAATAAAATAATTTTACCTGGGTTAAAAGTAACAATTTGTTGACCGTCTGGACTCATTGCTATGTAACAACAGAACCGAGAATCTTTCTCCGTAGAAAAAGTATTCTCGAGTGAATCATTTTTCTTCGACTGGAATTTTTTTTGTTGTTTTTTTAACATATTTTTAACGTAAACATGCAAACAATTTCCTCGTTTTACAGATAATAGCAGGTATTTATATTAGCAATAATAAATAACAAAAAACTTCGGAATTTCATTTTTGAATATTAAGCATTGACGTGATGATCTTCTAACTAAAAAATCATAAAAAGAGCATTAATTTCTGTAATACCGAACATTAAATATCATGTTATTTTATGGTAACTGGGAATGGATATTGTGCACATGACGTGTAAAATTGTTTTTTTATATGAGAAATTAGCAAGCAAAATAGTAACAAGAAAGATATTAAGTAAGTTAACGAGCAAAAGAATCAATTAATATATTTATTTATTTATTTATTAAAGATATACATAACTTACCTAAATTATTTAAAAATACGAATCTCAAATCACGAATTCAATTTTATAATTGTGCCACAAAGACAAAATGGATATCAATGGCTAATATGGTAATATTAGAGAATTTTAATGACGTTTTTAAGGTAGCGCAGATATTAGAAGACGTCTAGTTACCATGCTTGTTATACCACGATTGATTCTTACTATAATTATTATCTGATTATGGGAAATGATTACACACAAAATAAAAAAAATTTTTTTTATTGCATAAAAATTTATTCTAAATATAGAAATAGAACTATCAATTATTTTAATTAAAATTGATCATACTATATTAAATAATCTTAAAATAGTAATTTGATCTAAAAATGACCTAGCAACAAGATATTCGTTTATACAATTAGATATTGCTAAAGAAATGACAACTTCGTTTATCATAATTTATATATTCACATAATTTTTTTCCAAGGAAATTGTTCCGTCATAAATGTATCTAAATTACATAAAAAATGTTATTATTGTTCCCATTAAGATTTATTGCTTTTGAAAATAATGAGGAATTTAAGAGACAATGATTACTTGATAATAACATTAAACATTTTAGTAGAAATATTTGTGTTAGGCATGAACTGTAAAAATTTGATTATTAGGAATTTCACCAATTTCAACTATGACTTTATAATCAATAAGGTCTTCAAAAAGTTAAATTGATTTTTTTTTTAAACCAACGGAGCCTCGCTCCAATATGTTTATTTATTGTAAAAACCGTTACATAAAGAAATCAATTAACCAATTAAATACATAATAAGGCTTGCTAAAAACAAGCGAAACCCCACCTCACAGCTATCGTTGCCCGAAAATGTGTAATTGATGAAGTACATTAAATCTAATCCAATACAATCTCGTCTATATTAAAGATATTTAATACTTTAATACTGTAAAACACCAAAATTGCAATTATTATAACTAATAATATAAAAATACTATATATAATTGTTGGGCTAATGACATGACATAGCATCTCAACAATTTTTATGCAATAACACTTACTTTTTTCGATTTTTTTAATTTTTTTATTTGTTTATTGGCTTTTTAGATACAATATTAACATATCAGCTAATTTAAAAAGATTTGACATAATGTTTTACGTAAAGTTAATAAACGTATTGATAATACACCTAAAACAACTAAGTAGAGTTCTTCTAAAAGAAAAATAAAACAAAATAACGATATTTAGCATTAAAATAAGTTTCGCAGGGTCGGAGGTAGGGCTCATGGGTTTTGGCATTAACTCATGGCTTTTATTTTATATAGTGAATAGTTTAATCAGGTGACAGAATTTTATTGAATTAATAAATCAGATATTTGTAAAATTTGGTATTGGACATTTTTTGCTTAAAAGCCGAAATTTTTTTCTTCCACGTTTGTGATTTGATAAAAAGACTTGTTTATTATTATTGTTATCATTTACTAGGATAGGGAATACCAGAAAAAAAATAGTTTTCTTTCTGTACACACAATGATTAATCAATTTTAAGTTATAAATTAAATACATTAATACATAAATAAAATATAAAAAAGTAAAAAGTGTCAAATTAATATTAGATAATTAAAAATATATATCTCTCTCTTATAAAATTTAACTATAATCATGATTTCTAATCATTTTGATTATTTTGATTATTATTTTTTTTTTTTTTTGACTATTCAAAGCCAATAAATTTTTAATATCTTTTTTTAATGAATCCAATCTTGCATTTAATTTATTTTCATTTGAATTCTTTTGCCATTTCTTAGAAATCATTTTTCTTTCAACAATTTCTTCATCAGTAAATCTAATTTCATCAACTTCATCAGGTTCAGAAGTATCCTTATTATCTGAACTAACACGACTAACACGTTTATCTTTATTCAAATGAGACGAATTATCTAAATAAAATTTAAAAAATTAATTCATGTTAGGATTGAAAATTTTTTTGCAAGAGAATCAAATTCTTGTTATCAGTTATTATTATTACCTTGATCATCATCATCACTATCATATTCTTCATCACCCTCATCACGACTAACACGGTTATCTTTATTCAAATGAGACGAATTATCTAAATAAAATTTAAAAAATTAATTCATGTTAGGATTGAAAATTTTTTTGCAAGAGAACCAAATTCTTGTTATCAGTTATTATTATTACCTTGATCATCATCATCACTATCATATTCTTCATCACCCTCATTGAGATCATCCAATTCAAATAATTTCTCATCCATAAGACGTGATCTTTGTTTCCCATTATCCTTTTTAGTACCCTCGAGCCAATCATCAATCAGATCAGGATTAGGGATATAATAAATGTATCTAGGATTCCCTTTTCTATTACCAAAAGGTTTTTCTAAAATATCATATTCAGCGATAAGTTCAGCACGATATTTATGAACTGCTGCTCGACCTGCTATATTTGAACTTTCAAATGCACCACTATATAATTAAGAGAAAATTGAATTAAACAATTTTTTACAATTTCACAATTTTACAACAAATTAAAATAATGTACAATAAATTACACAACTTTAATAATATACTTACTTCATAAATGCAATCAACATATTTTGAAAAATTAACACTAATATTATACTTCCTAGCATACTCATTATAATTATAGAATAACTATCCCATTGGTCTAATTGATCCCATCGTCCATTGGTCCAAAAGTATACAGCTGATAAGGATGAGAGGATATGTGAATAGTAATTATCAAGATAGCTAGATTGATCAATAACCTGAGTAACTGATATATTTGGATATAAGCCTGAAGTATCATTTATTTGATAAGTAGGACGCTGTAAACTTTTTTCATCTGCATGGTTAAGAAGAACAAACCTGAAGAAGATCATAACAATTATAAAAATATAATGATAAAATATAGTAATAAAATGTAATTAGTTAATGTTTAAAATAAAATTAAAAAAAAAACAAAAATTCATTATAATTATTATAATTAATATAATTACATAGCGTGACCAAATGCAAGTACCGCAATCAACATGAAAGCAAAGAATGGCCAAATAGTATTTAAAATACTTGTAATGATATAAATAAAACGTCCCGGAGCGTCAAAATATCTCAATAGTAATAACTATTAAGTAAAATAAAATAAAAAATTTGCTTCATCCGGGAAGAAAAAGTGAAAAGAATGAGAAAAAGGACCTACAACTTCAAGCCACAAAACTAAAGCTGTAAATGCCAATACAGTATTATATACAGAATATTTCAAATTAATTACATCGAAATCATTTAAAATACTCGCCATACTAACTGCAAATGGTAATAAAACGGATGCTATATCAAAAAAACTATAAATACTAATATATTTATACCATCCTGCTCTTTTTAATTGCACAATCTCTGTAGCAATTAAATACCATCCAGTATAACCATAAAAAAAGAGGGAAATACTTTTTATTACAGCTGCAGAATCTGATTTAAATAATTCTGTTGGTTCTCCCGTGAATGAATATGAAATAACTGTTATAGTATATGTGATAGCAAATATTACATACAAAATGATATGACGAATATAATGTCGACGGGCAGATGACCACTTAAAAGCCGAGACCGCCATAATTGCAGGTGTTTGATAGATTTCAGTACTTTCCTCTTCACGAATAATTCGAATGAAAGGACTCTCTTTTTTATCAGGAACAACATTTTTACGTGGCAACCAAAATATTCGAAAAAGTGTAAATAGAAGCCATAAATAACCTTCTTCGTGATCTTTAAGAACTTCGGGATATACCGTAAAATCAGGTAAAGGGACTTTATAAACTTTACGATCATTATATGAAGTAATGATTTGTTGATGTTCTTCTAGTGGAATAATTTCTTTAATCCTTTTAGAAAATCTAAAGTTTAAAAATAGAGAATTAAAAAGAAAACTCCTTTGTGATCATTATAATTAATAATAATAATTTACCTTTTTCGTTGGTTTTTAAAAAAAGACCTTAACTTTTCTAATGGTGTAACACTGTGCTTTGATGCAAGACGCGGTTTTAATATTAAAGCATGTATCTTAGCTACTTTATTTCCTTTCTTTTGATCACGATGACTAATGTATAATGGTGGAGTGTAAGCTTCGGTAGCTCCGAAACACGGTTTCTTGAATAAATTTAGAACGAATCCATCTTTCGAAAAATTTATAGGAAAAAGAAGTTTGATTTAATTGACTAATATAATTTGATAATTTGATAGTAATTAATTAATGTAATTGAATAAAAGAAATTAACTTACTTAATTGATAATCATATAGTAAAGGTATTGCTTTGGTTACAGTGAACATCCAACCATCATTATTATATTCTTTGGCATTATCCGCATAATAATCTATTAAATATTTTAAAATTGCTGTAAAATCAACTCCATGTCGAGTACATAAAATGGCATTATCTAAATCTGACTTTGGTGTAATTTTATTGTTTTCACCATTATTTTTTACAATTGAATTTGATGATTTTCTATCATCTTTATCAAATGTATCATCTGTATCATCTGTATCATCTTTATCATCTGTATCATCTTTATCATCTTTATCATCTTTATCATCTTTATCATCTTTATCATCTGTATCATCTTTATCACCTTTATCATCTTTATCATCTTTATCATCTTTATCATCTGTATCATCTTTATCATCTTTATCATTTTTATCATCTTTATCATTTTTATCATTTTTATCTTTATATATCCTTGGAATATGAATATTACTATTCTTTCCATTAATCTTCTTATTTAAAATTTGTTTGATTAAATTCTCTTGATAACCTTTGATAAGATATTTCATAATTGAATATCGAATATCTGTTAATCTAAATATTCCATATTTTGTAATATATTTTCGTACTAATCTTTGTGTACATTCAATTAAATAATCAATTCGATTAATATTCTTAGGACCTGAAACATCCTGTTTCTTCTCTCCTAATACATAAAGTGATCGACATGCCCCTTAAAGAGAATTTGTATTATTTGGCCAATGTATCGTCATTGGTTTTGTTGCCGAAGATTTGGTTGAAGGTATTAAAAGATTTAATACAAATTCTCGTTCTCCGACGTTTAATTCTTGAACTTTTAACCCAGTAGATCTCACATTTTTTGCCCAAATATATTCTAGTACTCGATCATTTTATCTACCTTATTTTTATTACGATATTTCCATATTTGTACAGTATTACGAGAAATAATAAGTTGAGTTCTTTTTGTAGAATCCAGCCAAACTGATGATCGAAAATAATGTTTCGGCTGCCACGGTTCAACATTTTGTATAATTAAATCCTTTGATTCATCATCAGATATTTTCCCATTTATATCATAAATTGCATGATAGACGTCCTCGTTCTCTTTGAAAATCTCAATTTCAGTCATTTTCTTCGATGGAGGATTTCTAATTAAATTCACATCTTCATGATCTAATATTGAAATAATTTTTCCACTATCCGTAACCACTAACATATTTCCATGAGAATTAATCAATCGATGTGTAGCATCCATTTTTAGAGGTTCCTGAGATTCGGAATAATCAATTTGACGTATGGAATCTTTAAATGTGGTAAATAAATCCCATACTATAAATTTTTGTTGTATAGAAATTTCACCTGATGAATTTTCGATTTCTTCCTCAAGAACTATTAAAAGTTTACTATCATTATCAATAAATTCTATAGCTACAATTTTATAAGTTCTTCCTCTATCACCTACTAATTGTTTGGTAGTAATTTCTAACCCATTTTCCATCAAGAATAATGTAATGCCGATGGTACCCCGACAAAATGCTAAAATTCCTTCATTCTGAGAGATGGAAAAGATTGAAGAACCACGAATTACGTTGGGAGCTGCTGAAGATTCATGACGTTTAAATAACATCTCTAGATCACCAGTTATTAAACTATACATTTCAATAATTTGTTGTTGATTTTTAAATGAATGTACCATAAAATGATTTTTAATAATACTCGTGTGTAAGAGTTCTAACGCATTTTTCCCATGATCTAAACGTGAAAGACTAATTGAAAGTTGTTGAGGTAATTCGAATTGTTCAATATTGGTAGATGATGACTTTAAAAATCGATTTAGTTTTTGAAATTCTTGTTTCATCATAATTCTATTACTATTTAAGGTTTGTTTGTAGATTCCTGATGCATTAACTATTATTATTACTGTTTTATCTATTAATGGTTGAGATTCCAATATTTTAACATCACTATCAAGAAATCTTATAACACCACCAATTGATTCTAGAGAAGTATGTATTTCATTTTTATGTGTAGTAGAAATAACCCACGTGTGAGATTTAATTTCAAGAAGATTAACATTTTCACCTACTTCCATCAAGTTATTTTCGTCTTTCTCATCATATATTTTATTAGTATTTTCGTTTTGATCGTAAAGCATTTCACTTGCACCAAAACAAGATAAAGCAATAAAACGTTCACCATCATGATCTACGCAATTAGATATTGCTAAAGAATAACAATATCGTTTATCATGAACTATCTCTTCACTTAGGAACTTAACAGTAGGTTTATTAAAATCCCCAATATCATATAACGTAAATTCACAACTCTCTATTATTTTATATTAGCAATTAAAAAGATTTATTAAAAGATTTATTAAAAAATTTTTATTAAAAAAAAAATTTAATTTTACCGAAAGAAATAATCGACATAATATTTTAATTAAATTAATAATTAATTTTACCTGGATTAAAAGTAACAATTTGTTGACCATCTGGACTTATCGCTATGTAACAAACCGACTGAGAATCTTCCCCTGTAAAACTTATTATTGAAAAAGCATCCTCGGGTTTTTCATTTTTTTTCGACAGAAATTTTTGTTGTTGATTTTTGGACATGTTCTATGAGCATGAAATAATGATATTTTTTTTTTTTTTTGGACAATCATATATTTTTATTTTATAAATATTCATCAAACACCTCAACATGTATTACAAACAATTAAAGCAGGCAGGATTTAAAAATAACAAACCCCGGAAATCCTTTACTATTTTATTTTGTTGTGCCACTTTTTGTCAATGAAATGATAGCGCGGGTTTTTTGTGGTATTGTATCCGTTCTGTAACACTGTATTTGTAACATTGTAACATTCCGAATATATATATTTCATTAAATTATTACTTATTATGGTCAACTAGAAAGCATATGTAATACATACATGTATGTATTATCGTTTGTTACACAAAATTAATATACATTAAAATTTCTTTGTATATACAAATAAAGGGAGCTTTATTTCATTGTTATCAGTGTTTTAGAGGTAACACTCAAAACTGTGCAGATAAATGTAACACTCCGTAAAATGTTTTCATAATGAAATTACTTGATCCAACGACAGCAAACAAAAAAAAACAGGTAATTTTTGTTTTTTTTTGGCAAATATGGTTAGGTGAAAAAGCCCTTAGTTTATTAAATAAATCTATACAAATAATTATCTACGAAATTATTACTCGCCTTTAAGTCGCAATCTCAGGGAATATTTTTCATGCTAGGGTAAACTTAGCCTATACGGGCTCGGAGTTTCTGTACAGGATTTAATCCAAGCTAAGTAAATTTTAAAAATTTAACTTCGAATCAAAAATTCCTCCTAATAAAATCACATCCCAGAATGTTTTCCTAAAGAAATTAAGGTAAAAAAAAAAAAAAAAATCATCAAATTCAATAGATATAAATCCAAGAAAAAGATCACTTTATTTTGAAAAATATTTGTAATCAGACCAAAATTGAATCCCAAGAATGAAAAAACAGGTATTAAACACATAATACATAAATTAAATATCTTGACCATAGTATCAATCTCTAAAGTAAACTTTAAAGAAATTTTTTATAAAAAAAAATGTTGAAAGTAAACTCTAATCCGCAAAATTATAATATTAATAAATTCAAGTATCAATATTGAATAGTTTTGAAATTATATTTGCTTTGATCTAGAAAAACTTGTTATACAAAACCTTCGGGATGACGTTTTACACGCCCGAAAGGAGCACGTTAATGGTGGCTTAATAAATAACTAATTGAATTCTAACATACTATAAAAAATTTTTTAATTTCTGGACAAAACGTGTGCACAATTAATTTTTATATTTTAAAAAGAAAGTTTTTCTGGACAATTGCTTTTTAAATTGCTCACATTTATCAGAATAATAAATTTATTTTATAAAATATTCTCAATTTAAAAATTTCACCCTACTTAGAATTTTCGATTTGTAGTTATCAATGAAAATGTAAAACTTTTCTTGTCTTTTTTTTTCCATTGATTATTAATTTTTATCCCACTCAAGGGGATTAGATCTTCCAAAACAATAACGATGGCTGATACTTTACCACAAATATTAATTTAACAGATCTTTAGATCCTCTAACAAGTAATTTAAAGTCATATGGATTTCTTTTTTATCAATCCATGATGAAATCTTAGCGCAAGTTCATCAGGAAAATGGATGGAATGATGTATTTCTAGTCGGAAGAGTTGTATTTAAGGTTTTATGAAGGTGGTAAATTGATCTGTTAAGTGTCATGAGTTTAGAATTGATGTCTAAAAATTTTACGTTCAATTGCAGACCCTTTTCTATCACATCGTTACCGTAAATGCTAAAATATCTAATATATGAGAGATATTTCTCACATTTCCATTTATTGAGACTAGTAGGTAAAGATATACATATTCCCGGATTTTACTTTCCTCATTTGCATTGCATTGCATCTTCCAGGAGTGAATAAAACTTTTCAAATTTGAAAATCATATTAGGATGTTTGGCAATTCTTGAATTATTTCAAGGTTTTTGATTTGATAAATTTTTCGGTAAACCTGAACAAATTTTTGACCTTAACCAAGAGGCACAGTTGTCAATAAAAAAAAAGTTTGGAGGTATTCAACTAATTTAGGTTCATTCAAAAGGTCAAAAGTAATATAAATATATTTTTCCAATTTTCCAAGGAAATTTATTCCACCATAAATATGCCTAAGTAAAAATATTATTTTATTTAAGAATACATTAACTTTCAAAAAAAAAAAAGAAAGCCAATGATAAATTTGAGATTAAAAGGAATTTCTTTTGAATTTCGTTTCAAAGTAAAGACTACGGCTGTAAAATATAGGAATGAACTTAAAGATTTGATTATTAGGTGCTTCCCCAATTTCAATCGATACATTATAGTTAGCAGGGTCTTTAAGAGGCCGTCTGATAGACGTTAATTAAAATTATAAATGTTAAAATTGAAAATTATGTAAATTATGTTTTATTCGTGAAATTTATTTAACGGAAATAAACAATAAATATAACTATTTTTTTAATTTATAAAAAAATTATTGAAAATCATTTCTTTTCGAAACTTTAAAAATTTCATATTCTTCAACATTAAATGTACATTTATTAGAAGATGATGGTTTATGATCTAAACTCAAAAACTCAGCGGAACGAATTGGTTTGTCATAACTTTCACCAGTTATTCTGCAATAGTTTAATTTACTAGTTTTCAAATTTTCCCTTAAAACTAATGTATGACCAAAAGAAAACCATAATTCATTACTAAAAAAACCAATTGCATAACCATAGTTCTTCACCCTACTTAAAATGGAATTTTTCAGATTTGAAGTTTTCAACGAAAATGCAAAACTGTCACAAGTACGAAATCTATCATTTTTTTTTTTATCCCACTGAAGGGGATTATACCCTCCAAGAATTTCTCCGGTTTCTTCCACTTTTAAAATAATAATTGTGTTTGAAACTTTATCACAAATATCATAAATATTTTTAATATCAAAACCATCTCTACTTCCTTTGACCAGCAATTCAAATTGACATTGGGTGTTTCCAGTGTAATACGGTTCTTGTCTATCAATCCATGATAAAATTTCTAAGGAATGTTCAACAGTAAGAATACTAGAACATGAGATAGTTCTTGTGGGTAAAACTTTTGAAGAGATTTGTTTGTTAGGCGAAATTAATTTAGCATTAATATCTAAAAAAAGTTGATGCTCAAGAAGTTGTTGATATGGATAAATCTTTTTAATAACATCATCCCCAGAAATGCTAAAATATCTAATGTGTGGGAGACATTGTTTTAAACTTTCCTTTAAAGTTAAAAAATTTTCACTTGTCCATTCATCGAGACTAATAGGTAAAGTTGGATTTTTAGCTTTGCCCCATTGAATTACATATTCCCAAATTTTACCTTCTTCTAATTGTAAATCATTTCGTTTGAGAATAGAGATTAATGCATCTTCAGGGAGAGAATAAAATTTTTCAGATTCAAAAATAGTATTAGGATGTTTGACAATAATATCATTGTAAAATTCTTGAATAATTTCAAGATTTCTGATTTGATAAATTTGTGCAAATTTTAGCCTTAACCAAGAAGCGCAGCTGTCGACAAGATATTTTTGGAGATGTTCAACCAATTCATCTAATTCAAATTCATTGGATGCAATTAAAAAGTCAAAAATGATTGAAATTTCCAAATTTTCCAAGGAAATTATTCCACCATAAATATACCTAAATTAGAACATATTATATACAAGTATACATTAACTTCAAAAAAAAAAAAAAAAAAAACTGATAAATTCATGAATCTATGCTTACTTAATAATGAGACTGAATATTTCAATAGAAATATTAATGTTTGGTATCATTAATACTTTGACGTGATCGTCATTAAAAGGAATTTCGTTAAATCTCTTTTTAAAATAAGGACTTCGAGATTGTAAAATATAGGAATGAACTTTAAAGATTTGATTATTAGGTGATTCCCCAATTTCAATTGATACATTATAATCGTTAGGGTCTTCAAGAAGTTGAGTAAGGTCTTTTGATAAACGTTCAAATAATTTAGTGGTCATTTTTTTGTAAATTAAAATTATAAACGGTTAAAAAAAAAAAAAAAAATTAAAATTGAAATTTAAACATTGCATTGTTTTTTTATTTGTGCCACAAAGACAAAATAGGTATGAATGGCTAAAGCTTTATATGTTTTCACGTGTGGTCATTACCATTAACTGAAAACTAAACATTATTTTTTCCGTGTTAAAAAAAATATTTAAATATTTTATAATTTATAAAGCGTTACCGAAACCAAACTTTAAATCCCTTGAATAATTATAAATGGTACAATTAAAATCCTTCTTTTTCCATTGATTATTAATTTTTATCCCACTCAAGGGAATTATATTCTCTTTGACACCTTCCACTTTTAAAACAATGACGGTGGCTGAACTATTAAAAAAATAGGTTTAACACAAAACTCATCTCTACTTCCTCTGACAAGTCATATGGATTATGTTCAATATATGGAGTTTCTTTTCTATCAATCTAGGATGAAATTTCTAGTGTATTCCCATTAATAATAATATTAGAAAGCAAAGGAATTAAGGTATTTCTAATTGTAAGTATTTTATTTAAGATCTTACGAAGGTAATAATTGCAAATCATCTCGCTTAAGAATAATCTCGCTTAAGAATAGAGATTAATACAAGCACCTTCAAGGAGAGAATGAAACTTTAAATTCATTATCAAGTACAATTAAAATGACAAAAAAATGATTGAATTTTCAAGGAAATTATTCCACCATTCAAATATACCTAAAATAAATTTTCTAATGTAAGTATGTACTAACTTCCAAAAAAAATATTATGACAAAAAATTTTAAGAAATTATGCTTACTTGATAAGGAAACGCTTTAACAGAAATATCAGTCATTTTTAATATTTTGATAATTAAAAGGAGTTTCTTTTTAAAGTAAAGACTATGGTATAGGGAATGAAATTTAGTCATTTTTTCATCGTGAAATAAAAATTATCAAACGTTAAAAGTGAAGGAACATTATTATTTACTAAAAATTGATTTTGTGAATCAATCACACAATCACGCGTGATCTTAATCTGAAATTTTGAATTATTTTTTTTAACCAATAAATGAATAAATAATCTTAATTAACATAAAATTGGTTTTGTATTTATTTATGTTGGAAAGACATCGAAAATTGGAAATTAATGAAAACGTTTTTAAGTTTTTATGACAGTAAAAAATAATATAAATTTTATGAATTTTACTTATTAATTTAATTAAAGGAAAAAAAAATAATACCAACAATCATATGATTATCCTCCTTACAATAATTAGAATAACATTATAACATTATTATTTATTTATTATTTTTTTTTTTTTTTAAAAAAAAAAAAAAAATAGTTCCGAGAAATAAGAACCAATTATGAACGAAAGAAAAAAAAAATTATATTATTATTAAAAATCAAATATCTTATAATTATGGTGATGGCATTTCGACTAACTGTTATATTGATAACCAACTGAATGGCATTTAAATTCTTTAATTTAGCTACTGATGAAAAATTGATACCAAAGAATATTTCCCACCACACAATTCATTATCACCAAGGAATTATCTTAAGCATGCGGAAGAAGGATATCTTAAAACTTTTAATTCCCATAAAATATTTGTAATTACGATGGGTTTGGTGTTGAAAAAAATGAAAAAAAAGCATTCTAATAAATATTATTATATGATAACATTTCTGGAGATAAATCTGCTCTTGATGGAAATATTGGATAATTTTGTTATGATATTAGTCATAGGTGAGATGTTTGTTTGTAGGAAAAGAAGTATTTAAAATGGAGCTTTTTTCTAGAGCCCAAGTTTAATTTGGGTATAAAAAAGCTACAGAAAATGATTATGTTGTTGATGGTCAACACATGATAGGAAAATACTTTTATGAAGGAAGTGGAACTAAGAAAGATATTGTAAAAGCTATATACTGGTTAAATAAAGCAAAGGAAAATATGAATTTAAGAATGTAAGATGATAAATGTAATAATTTAGAAAAAAAGACCGTGGTTTTTTATAATAGCATAACTGATAATATTTGTATTGTATAAGAAATTAATCTATATTATATTTTCAATCATCATCTCTTTAAATTTTTATTAATTTTTATAAATCATGAAATAAAAAAAAATATATATTTTATTTTTTCTAGATTTTATTTTATTTTTTTATTATCATTTTTATAATAATATGATGATTTTTTTCTCAACTGGATAATTGACATTTCATTGGTTCCTGTTACCTTTGTACACCCTTTAAAACTTGTTCATACAGTACATCAAATTTAAAATAATCGAGCAAAAAATTTAATTTTTTAATTTCGAGAAAAAATTCAAATGCAAAAAATCGAAAAAATTATATTTATTCCTTCACATGATAAAACACCTTTAGAAGTTAGATTAAGTTATTGGAAAGATGAATTAGGTAGAATTGTAAATGGTGATAGTGGTACTGATAAAAGTAATAAAAATATCAATATTTACAATTCAAGAATTCGAAATTCAAGTATTGGAAGTAATAATAATAATGAAATTGAAATCAAAGGAATAAAAGCTGTAATTATTTCTCATCCCTATGGACCATTAGGTCATTATTTATTTAATTGATTAATTAATTCATTCATTAATTGAAATGTTAATAATCAATTTTAATTCAATAATAATTTTAATATATTATTTTATTTATTATTAGGAGGGGATTTTAATAATAATGTTGTCGTCGCTGTTGAACATTATTTTCTTAGTATGGGATATTTAACAATTGCGTTTAATCTTAGGTAATAGACGAATAACTTAAATATTATTATTTATTGGTTTGTTTGTTTGTTTGTTTATTGGTTTGTTCTATTAAATTTTAATTTTTTTTTATTTAATTTATTAAATTTTTTTTTTTTTTTATATTATTTTATATAAATTATTTACAATTTATTTATTTTATACAGAGGAGTAGGAAATTCTGGAGGAAGAACTAGTTGGTCAGGAGAACCCGAATGTGGTGATTATAAGTCTATAGCAGAATGTCTAATAAATTCGGGTAGAATTAGAAATGAAACCATAATTGAGTTGCCTAAAATTTTGGAATTGATAATTGTTGTAAGTTTTATATTATTTATTAATTAAATTAATTATTTTTATTTAATTTTAATTAATTTTATTTAATTTTAATTATTTATTTATTAATTTTAATTATTTATTTATTATTATTTAATTTTTAAAATTTAATTTAATTTAATTAAATTAAATATTTGATTAATTTTAATTTAATTAAATAAATATTATTATTTATAGGGTTACAGTTATGGATCACTAATTGCTTCATCCTTAGTATCATTTACCAAATCACTCTCAATTCCCACATTTTATATATTAATCAGTTATCCCTTATCCGTTAGATGGTTTCTTACATTCTTTCGTTCATCAACATACTCAAATTATTTAAATTCTTTAATTAATTCAAATTCTAAAGTCTTATTTATTTATGGGAATTATGATCAATTTACTAGATCAGGTCGATTTAAAAATTGGATTCGAGAAAATAATTTAATTAATAATCCTCGATGGACTATTAAAGAATTACGAGGAGTTGATCATTTTTATGTTACGAGTTCGATGGGAAATTCTTTAACTCAAGAATTAAATGAATGGGTTAATAATATTTCATTATCAATCAATAATGTTAATAATAATAATGATGTTGATGATGATGATGATGAATTAGTAGAGAATAATAAATTCGAAGGGATGGATTCAAAGAATTCTAATAATTCTTATAACGCTGAGAGTTCAAATAATGAAAGTAATGTATATAATTGAAAGTAATCTATGTAAATTAGGATAATAAGGGGAAATTAAAGTTTTGGCTTATAAGGATTTGATTTTAATCATGAGATATTTAACCATAGAAAGAAGCAATATATTAAATTAATTGTATATTATATAACATATATATTTATTTAAATAAAAAAGCTTTTATGCTTTAATTTTAATTCCGCCACCAATCATTATATCCCTCCTTTCTGATTTCTTTTTTTAAGCCAACTATTTTTTCATGAAATCAAGTTTTCTTCAAGAATTAGAACAGTCAACCCCCCCTGCATATGCATCTGGTGACATTGTATATATATATTTATTTATTTATTTAAATTCTTAAAAATGGAAGTTCTTAGGGAATGACTACACCGAACCACCGAAAGTTAACCTTTCATATATATCTTTTTTGTTCGAAATTAATTAAATAATTCTTCAGATCTCAACTATAAACAAAAGTCATAATAGTAGCTATCAAATCACTACTAAAAATAGAGAAGTTTATTTTTTCTTTTGAGTTGAATTGCATACTAAATACATGCCACGCTTTATTTTGTCTTTGTGATACAAATAAACCAATCAAATGTTAAATGTTTTACTTTAATTCAAGGTGTAATCTCGATTTTCCCTTTTACTATGCCTATTTTGTCTCTGTTATACAAATAAACAATCAAATTTTTCTTATCATAAATTCAAGTGTGATCTCAATAAACTTTAACATTTTTAAAAAAATTTTTTTTTTTTTTTTAATTCACGACGAAAAAAAAAAATGTCTGCCAAATTCCTTGACCGTTTATCAAACGACCTTACTCAACTTCTTGAAGACCCTATTGATCATAATATCACAATCGAAGTTGGTAAAGCACCTAACAATCAAATTTTCAAGGTTCATTCCTATATTTTACAATCCCGTAGTCCTTACTTTAAAAAGAAATTCAACGAAACTCCTTTTAATGACGATCATGTCAAATCATTAAAAATGGTTGATATTCCTGTTAAAATATTTGACATCATCATTAAGTAAGCATTCATCATTGATATTTGTTTTAAAAGATTTAATGTATTCTTTAAATAAAATAATGAATAAATAAATATATTTTTTTTTATATAATTTTAGGTATATTTATGGTGGAACCATTTCCCTTGAAAAATTAGAAAATTCTATTATTTTTGACCTTTTATTGATTTCTAATGAATTTGGATTGGATGAATTAGTTGAACATCTCCAAACTTCTCTTGTTAAGAATAATTCATCTTGGTTACAATTAAGTTTCTTTGATCAGGTTTATCAAACAAGTTATCAAGTTAAAAATTTTTCGATACTTCAAAATTTTTGTGTTGATATCATTGCCAAACATCCGGATACTATTTTCGAATCGGAAAAATTTTATTCCTTACCTGAAGATGCATTAATCTCCATTCTTAAACATGATAATTTACAACTGGACGAAGGTAAAATTTGGGAATATACCCTTCAATGGGGTAAATCAAAAAATCCCAATTTACCTGTTAATCTCAAAGAATGGTCAAAAGAAGATTTCGCAATTTTGAAAGAAACTTTGAAAGATTGCCTTCCTCACATTAGATATTTTAGTATCTCCGGTGAAGACGTCATAGAAAAAGTTTTTCCATATCAACAAATTCTTGAATCAAGATTATGGTTAGATATTAATACCAAATTCATGACATCTAATAAACGAATCTCTTGGGAAATTTTGCCACCTCGTAAAATAATTAGAAATACATCAAATTTGTCTTCTAATATTATCACTAATGAGCATTCCCTAGAAATTTCATCCTGGGTTGATAGAAGAGACACAGCATATGTTGAAACCTATCCGTATGAATTCAAGTTACTTGTTAGAGGGAGTAGGGATGGTTTCGATGTTAAAACTATTTATAATATTTGTGATAAAGTATCTAACACAGTTATTCTCTTAAAAGTGAAAGGTACGGGAGAAATTCTTGGAGGGTATAATCCTCTTGAATGGGATAATAATAATAATATATTTAGTCAATGGAAAAAGACTTCTGATAGTTTCGTATTCTCATTGAAAACGGAAAATTTGAAAAATTCCATTTTAAGTAGGGTGAAGAATTCGGATAGTGCAATTAATAATTATCCAATGCTTTCTATTTTATCTTTTGGTTCGGCTTTACGTTTAAATGGGAATTTGAAAAATGAGAAAAGTTGTTCATGTAAGAATGATAAGAATTATGAAAGACCCATTCGTTCGGATAAATTTTTAACATCCGATTGGTATCAACTTTTGGATAATGTTTCATTTTCGGTTGAAGAATTTGAAGTTTACAGAATTTCACCACCAAAAAAAATAATTTAAAAAAAAAAAAAAATAACATAGCATCGCATCTTTTGTTTCATTTCATTTCATTTCACATCATTTTATTATTAGTATTATTTTATTATTATTATTATTATTATTGTAATTAGTTTCATTTTATTTTCATTATTGTAATTAGTTTTATTTTATTTTAGACAGAAAAAGATGATTACACTTTTTATTATTATTTTATATTTAAATCACTTTTTTTTCAAAAAAAAAAAAAAAAATCAACGATGAGATAAAAAACGTTGAGCAAAAAAAAAAAACTTTTTTTTTTTTTTTTGAGAATGTTTTATTATCTTTTTGTTAATTGTATAAAATAATAAAATATAACGATTGTTAATTTAAAAAAACCATAAAATCCGTGTCGTGTGAAAAAAACTTGTATTACATATGATATCTTTGTACCACTTATAAATTACAATACTTTTTGGAAGTTGTTTTTGCATTTTATTTGTAAATTGCATATTTGATATTTTTATTTTTTTTTTCCTTAGAAAATAACATGGGACATTGCATACATTGCATTGAGTGAAGATTTACATTGGGTATACGATACACATGTAATGAATCAGAGATATCAATAAAATACTTTATCTTGGGCACGTGTGCTGAACATTATTTTGTATTTACATTTAGATAAGATAATTAATATTAATATTATACATAAACACTCGTGAATCATCGAGCAAGGGTTGACCCTAATACAAAAAAAAAAAAAAAAAATTTATTATTCATAAACATTGTGAAGATCTCTTAAATAAGGTGTTTTTTAAATATCTCTAAATGCCCAAAATAATTTTTTGTAAAAGAAAGAAAACTATTGGATGTGAAATAATAATAATAATAATAATAATAATAAATAGCAATTAGAATATATGGATATAATTTTTATTGGCTAAAAGTTTTTCTATTTATTATTATTTATATTGTGTAATCACTATAAAATAAATACATCTTTAACAACAAAAGTGGATTCTTTGTGGATTCAATAATTATATACTTGTATATTTTTTAATGAAATTATTAGATTTCAAAAAAACAAAACCAAATTTATAATCTTTATTTAACCAATTAAATAATTTAGATTACTTTCATTACACAAAATTAAATTTGGTAAAATCCCTGACTGTATAATTGAGTCAGAGATATCGAATTTGTCAATAAAATACTTTATCTTGGGCACGTGTGTTGAACATTTTGTATTTACTCACCCCTAGGTATTTCCATTTAGATAAGATATACATAAACATTGTGAAGATTTTTTAAATAACTCGAAAAAATATATTAATTTTTTAAAGAAATAAAACTATTTGATAATTATAAGTGATCGGAACAACCATTTTCATAAAAATAAAACTCAAAGTATGTGAGTATAAAAAATATTTACAAACGTGAATTTAAGGTTATTATTATGGTGTCACGAATTATTTGATGCTAACCTAAAAAGGTAAGCTAAATTACATTATTTTACATATACTAATTCAGATCACTTTATTTTGTACAAATTTTTATTGATATTTTGTTATTAATATTAATATTGGATAAAAAGAAATTTACATGCAAAAAATATAACTAAGTGTTAACCCTTAGAACTCAGAATTAAAATTTAATTCTTATTACTCTCTTTCAATTTACAACAATGCCAATACTACATATTTGACGAGAAAAACTACCATGGATCCCAGTCGCTGGTCCCCCCGAAAGCACAGCGTATGTATTCCCTTTGTCACCGCCGACCCAATTAGAAATTCGACCTCGATCAGTTTCAAATTGAATTGCATATAATACTGACCCAACTCGTTTATTAATTTGTTTTATTTTTTCATCCTTATACCATTCAAATATATATGGATCCATATCATTTGGTAAACCGTATATCTTGGATGTACCGTCTGTATATACAAATGCTATGGCGTTAACCACTTCTGAATACCAAACCTTTATGGTTTTTAGATACGCATTAGGAATTTGAAGCAATGCTTGAAACTCCGTACAATCACGGTTTTTATTATTCAATTCATCTTCAATATAATAAGATTCCAATGGTTTCCTATCCAAATTTTTCATAGCAGAAGAGAATTTGGCATATTGTTTTTCAAGATCTGAGACTGCTTTTTTCAGGTATTTTGTATCCTCCGCAGTTATTTTTTTTGGAACGACCTTGATTTCCTTTGCAATTTCTTGGATTTTACGACGATAATCCTTTAAAAAGGATTCAAAGTTGATGATGTTTGGTGCTATGTCTTTAAGCATCTGTAAAGTAAATCGTACTTGCACAAGCTCAGTCTCGGCTCGCTTTCGCTCTGAATAATCGGCTATACTTCCCTTCCAGTGTTTTTCTAATATTTGTTGGGCCTCACGTTCACCATCTTTAAGGTACCCTTGCGTATTGCTTACGCTGTCTTCAATTTTTTGAATTGAGGCAATAACAGCGGCAAGAATATTCTGAAATGGAGGTATTTGTCCGTCTAATACCTCAAGACGTCTACGAATGAAGTTGCCTGCATCGTCTGACATAAATTCAAACGGACCAATCATTTCTCGTTTGACCGTTCGTAAAATCGCATCCATTTCACTTGTGGTAGTCCAAAAGAATTTATCTGAAATATGAATGAAATCATCAAATTTATCACCGGTATCACGGACATCTTCATCTAGATTGAAGAGCACTCTTGAAATCGATTCTCCATTTTGAACAATAATATCACTTTTTGCCATAGTGATGCCAAGGTCACGAATTGCAATCCGAAATTTATTCATTCGGAAAGACGCTAATTCCGATTCTAAATATTTAAATAAAGGTTAAAGGAACTGATTAGTCTGAACTATCAACGGAAGACATTAAATAAACATCTGTACTGAAGTGATAAAAAAAAGATAACCTTCATAGTTTAGTTCAGAAGAACCTTCATCATCATGTTCGAATGGAATTTCATTACCATTTCGTCCGAACTGTACGTGTAATGTGTATAATATCAAATTAATTGAAAGATTTGTATTATTTTTTTTATTAAGCCATTAATCCGTTCTTACTTTATTATAAATCAATCCAAACACAAAAATCGCTAAAACTATTCTTTTCATTAGTGTGAAATTTTTATAATTTCTACGGGCTAAACTCGGCTTGGCCGTTGGAGTTGGATTTGGACGACGTTGTCGAAGGGTAGAAGAATCTTTGTATGACAAAGATATTTTGGAATTACAATATGATACGATACTTTTGTAACGAAATTAGAAGAACTAAGAAAAATTATCGGAACTATCAACCTCCACCGATATCATGCTGATCTAATTTAATATCGTTTGAATTTCCGTTTGAAGGGGAGCCCTCTTCCTTTGAATACATTTCGTTTTTCAAATCGTGCGAACGAACAGTGGTTGTTTGATTCCATTTGTTCCTAAATTAGCAAATCTCTCTTAAAAATAAACATGTGAACATATCATGTAGGCAGATTAACCAATGAAACGAATCCCAATTTATTCCCACGCAATGCATACAATGAACGCGACTGATAAATAACGTGACAGTTGACAATTTTACTAAATTAGAACCCGCAGAGATTTTCCAGCTTCTACATCTGAACTCAGATTTTTTAGAATAGAAAACCAATAAATTCTAAATAATGCGTATATTACTAGGTGGTAGTGTTGGCATTTTGGTTTCCATTGTCGCTGTGTATTACGAGGTGGGCTTATTAAATTATTCTCGAATAATCATTTTAGGCAACATTTCTGTTTTCTGTTTACTTACTGCTTTGAAAATTAGTCAATACGTTCAATGCTTGGACCATTTTTTCCGGTAAGGGTTTGGGGGGTTTTTTTTTTTTGTAATATAAACTTTTAATTCGCCATTAACTCGTTATTATATATAGCCCGCTGACTGGCCTATATTCAGGAATCTGACAATTACCACCACTTTGCTTTCCAAGCAACTTACGGAATTAAATATCCCGGGTACATTGTTCATCTTAAACCCCTTAAACAAAATCCTCATCAGAAAATAAGTTTAACAATTCGGCTTCCTTTCTATCAAAATTAGCTCCTTCTGTGATAATAGAATATCGTGTCACGAGTGAATACCTTGCCGACATCTTAACCCGAAAAAAACTACCACTCGATAACTCGGACAAAGTAGCAGAATATCTACGTCAACTTGGGAAACAGACGTTTGACTCGGGTGAAGCAATCGAAAGAATGTATTCCACTAGTAATTCTGGCCTCAAGCAACTTGGCACGGAGTTACAATTCATTATTGAAAAGATTCACCCGGATCAAGTTCTTACACGACAAAATGAAACTTACTTTGCAGAACGTTATGGAAAGATTTTAAATATTGTTACCAATTTACGTGATAAATTCAAAGAAACTAGGGAAGTTCTAGATGAGCTTCAAATTATATATAATGGGACGAGGCATCAATTTGCAAATGGAATGAATGATGTGGAAAATTTTTTTGAAAAGTTTACACCAGTGTTAAATGATTACTATGATATGGAACAAGTGAAAAGAGAGCTTGGCTATTTGAAACGGATCATGGAAAAGTTTCCTGATATTCGGAAACAGATCAATGATCTTTTGTATGATTTCAATCAGCATCGACTAGCATTGATTTGGTGTCGTGGTGAATGGGCCAGGTTGTGGAGACGAAAATTAGTTTCTTTTAAGGATATTGAAACATTAGAGATTATGATTCAGGATTTAAATGATGTAACTAAAATATTTAAAAGGAATCAAGAAAATTTTGAAATACGAATTTAACCAATTGGGGGGGAAAGAATTTCAAAAATCTGACATTTCCACTTTTTCTAAATTATCTAATTTTGTCACATTTTTTGAGTTAAAAAAGTTTAATCGAAAGAGTGAAAAGGAGAAGGTGATTAAATATTATTCAATAAAGTTCATATTGAGAAATGTATTTGTTTTTACGTAAAAAAACAATGTATAGTTATAGTTTATATATATACAATCACCCTTATTGAAATAATAAATTTTTTTTTTTTGCATAATTAATTTTAGGGTATCAAAAGCACAACCTTAGATATATCAAAAATGATATCTTTGTCATAAAAAATTTTTCACGTTAATAAATTAAATTTTTATTTCATTCAAGTAAATTACAGTACAGTTCATATAAATATTTTTGTAAAGTTTGTTTATTACAAAAGTTATTTCTTTTATGTTGATATATTATTATTTTTATATAATTTAATATTTTTAGAATTGCAAATATTGTAAAGGATGTGAAACTCAAAACAACGCAGATAAAATTATAACCAATGAATATTGAAGAACAAAAAATTAATTATGAATTTAAAATTTTCTGTACTTTTAAATAATATTATTTTAGAAGATAATTTTGATAGAAAATAATGTCTGATGACTATTAATTTTTTTATTTATAATTAATTAGATATATCATATTTGTGAAAATCAAAAAAAAAATTAGATATTAAAAACATGATAGACAACCAATGGAATTAAAAATTTACTTTTGATATAGAAATACTCTTCATAACTTTTCAGACAAAATTGTGTTACTTACACGAGAAATTTACAAAAGGCTCGCTTGCTTAAATATTAATATTCTCCAAATTCACTTCTGGTGGAAAGAATTACGGAATGCATTGAAAAATTCTCATTTCATTCACATAATACATTGTCACCTTTTTTTTGAGGTTTTTTTATTGTTATACAATTATAATTTTATTAGGAATTGGTATCAAAGTTTAAATAAATAATAGAATTGTATTAATAAAAAAAATGATTTCTTTATTTTTATGGAGATTAATTATTTTCTTTATTTCAAGAAAAAGAAAATAATAATAATTCGGACAAAAATTTTTTGATAAATGTACGATTCGATAAAAAAAAATTAATTGAAGAAAAAATATTTTTCTAATCGTTGATATAATGAGCATAACATACCCACTTAGTATAGTTATAACCCCTCGAGAATATGAAAGAAAGTACGACAGCTTCCACATTCCATGACCTATACCGTAGAACACTTCCAAATTACGTTTTCTTTCACCGAGATGTTGAATCTGGTTCATGTTTGTTTCTACACTCGAGATCAACTTGGTTTGTGTCGTCATACTAATAGAATTATCTCGTTACCTTGTTTCCTAATGGAGTTGTAACCTATCAACTATCTTTAATTAGGATCATAATCCTATTCGATTTCTATCATAGAAAATGGTAGCTATTTCATTTCACGAATGACCAAAAGCGAATTTCATTAGTTAAGGTTAATAATGCTTGTTTCAATACCTCGTTTACGATTACCCAGTATTATTATTATTATTTATTAGTATTATTATTATTACATAATTTATTATGTATTATTCGTTCATCTAATGGCAGCTATTTCATTTCACGAATGACCAAAAGCGAATTTCATTAGTTAAGGTTAATAATACTTGTTTCAATCTCATTTATGATTACCCAGTATTATTATTATTATTATTATTATTATGTATTATTCTTTCATATGCTTCAAATATAGTTATTTGTGAAATCGCGTGCTTTTAATATTTTGGTAATAATTTTATTTATTTATAAGAAACATTATAATGTTATCCGTCATTTAAAAGTGTTATACTTTTGATCAAATATATATTTATATTTATATATAATAGGCAAGGTAAAATTTACAAGTTAGTTTGATAATATTCCAGAGTCTTTATAACTAAAAATACTTTTCTCTTTGATATTGTTAGTTTTAATTCCTTTACAAGGCGAAATTCCAATATAAAAAATATTATGTCTTCTAAGGGAAGAACTAAAACTAACAGTTCGTCTTCTACCAAGTCTTCTAATTCACAAAATAAACAAAAAATAATTAGTCATATTGCTAAAAATGTTGCTAAAAATGTTGCTAAACATGTTGAAGTAAAACCTGAAAGTCGTGAAAAATTTTTAAAATCATACGGAGATACGAAAAATGCGGTGGACGCTTTGAATAAGTTGAAAAACAACAAATAATCTACGTTTTTCATTATTTTTATTGATTTTTAATTTTTTATATACATGTATAAATATTATATATAGTTATTAAATAAAATTAGTTATATGGCTTGCTTCATTGTCAATGCATGAAAAAATAATGATCTCTATTGTAATGTTTTCCGATACAATTATATACCAACTCCAAATACATATCATTTAGATGGTTGCATTCTAAGTGTCATTACAGAAGGCCGATAATAAGGATACATGCTATATATATACTATCGAGTATGTTATATCTACACATGCTATCGAATTCGAATATGCTATATACATGTATGTTCTGTACATACATACTATCGAATTTGTTGTCGAGGAAGCTATTAAATAGATTCACTTATGCTCAGAGATACAGATACGTTATAGCTATAGGTGTAGACTTATTGACGTGATACATTACAAAGTTAAGTTGTAGACATATTAAGGACGTATCCCAAACATGTATTTGACGCATTGACGCGTGACGTATGACGTTGACATAACTTAGTTAAGTCATATAATATCATTTATTATAAAATCAAAATTCATATTATGATCTAAATTATCTGTTTTAATTATGCTATGATCATAGATGGTTGCTACATAGAATCAAAGACAAAAATTAATTGCACCTTCTGTAAGAATCGCAGGCTTATTTCATCAAAATTAAAAGAATGATTATCGTTTTAAAATTTTTTCACCCGTTCAAACTTTTACAGAAGACGCGTATTATTCTCACTTTTGAGTTTATTTACATCAAATAAAAGATACGTCATACGTCAATAGTTACGGCACATGTCAATAGTTACGTCCATGCGTCTTCTCGACGTAACGTCGACGTAACTCTTAGTTTATCATAAGTCTGCACCTATAATTAATACCCTATTTACATGTATACATTTTTTGCCAATTACTTATTTTAATCTTTTACTAATATGATTCTTTCAATTAATCTTTTTGGTATCTAACAGTAAATTCGCTTCTTTTATCAAATTATTCAAAGAAATACATTTAAGAACTACTATTTCGCCTAAGGTTTTTTCTTGTTGAGAAACGATTTTTTTTCATTAATTAATTTTACATTTTCTAATTTAGAATAAAGATAAAATGGAATATCATCATCACATTCAGTTCTAGGATTATTATAAATATTGATATTATTATTTGTTTTTCTTTTTTTTCTTATTATAGATTGAGAAAATTAATAAATAAAATAAATAAATGAATGAAACGAACATATAAAGTAACTGATTTTGCTGATCACTCGTTTAATTTGCGGCTTTTAATATTTTATTTTAAACTTAAGAAAATCTCTCCATACTGTAATTATTGGTCCGATCCGGATATAGATAATGACGGATAATATTTTTTTTCTTGTTATAGCCATGCATTCCACTTTCTTGAACCGAAATTTAAGATTTTTAACCTTCTGACTGATCCATGGATATCCACATATCCGTAATTTCTTCCGGATTTTGTATCACCACTGACTAAAGTGAAGAGTCTTGTTTTTCATTAATTTTCTTATATGCACGAATTCTCTGTATATAAAAGAGATTTTTAGCATCAAAAAAATTATTTGAAATGTTCCAAAAAAATAAAGAATTTGTTGAACCGATCCGCCTAAGATCAGCACTATCGTTATATTAAAATTAGGGGCGAAATTTAACGTTTCGCACACAATTGGCAATAAACACACAAACACTATAATCGTAAAAACTTATTTATATCTTGAAAAAATCACACCATACATGTAAAAAAAAACTAAGGAAAAAGAATAAACCAAAAAATGGCACGTTAATTATTGCGAAAAAGGAGTTTACATTGCACACCATCAGATTTGGCTTCATTTTGTGTTTTTTTTGCATAATTGGTAAACACTAAATTTATTAAAACTTATTAATTTGTCATAAAAGTTTTAGATTTAATTAAATTTCCCAAAGAATTCATAACAATATGCAGAAAATTATAAGAAATAGAATTTGCAAAAAAAAAAAAATAGCACATTTACATTGTGAGATCATAGTGCCGATCGTAGACGAGACGGTTCGGCAATTAATGCATAAATCCAATTTTTTCACCTAATCCAACAATTTGATGATTAATTTTTATTTTACTTTGTAAAAGTTTAATAGTTTATCGCATGATAGTTATTCACTGTGGGCTGCAAATATCATAATAGTTTGTCAGGCCTTAGCAGTATAAATATATATTAGTTTAGTTAGTAATCAACTTGTTTTGTTGTATTTTTATGTATGCCGCTTGCGGCTTATAAATTTATGATAATAAAGTTTGATTGTGAGATCATGCTAGTCGCTAAAAATATATACATATCAAAACAACCAGCTCACCTTGAGATAACTATTGCTATCTAATAATTATATAGAATACTTGATCTTTACTTGATCTTTAACAATTAGATTTTATTAGTTTGAGATGTTTGCTTTTCATATTTATAATTCTTAATGATATTATCTAAACCTTAGAATGCTTTGACACGAAAAATTATTCACTTTTTGAATCTATTCAAGATCCTTAATTTTTAACAGAGATCTATAAAGATAAAAAATAATAAAAATTATAAAAAAACTCGGAACTTTATTATATTAACTACCTTCTGACCTCTAAATGAAAGTGTCCAGTACAATATTTACATATATTATTTTATAAGATTTATTAAGTAAGTTAAGGCACTTCATCTGTTTAAATAAACGAATAAATAACTGTCTAACCAATTGTTCCGCTACCTAACCAATTGATTTACTCTCAACCTGCGACAACTTATTTTATTTCTTCTTTCTAATGCTCAATGTAGTTATTTTATTCTATTTTTTGTTATTTTTGTTTAGTTTAGTCTAAAGAAGAAACTTTAATCAATAGACAAAGTGTATTATATACAGTATATACTTTATTAAATTCACTTAGGTTGTGGGATTTGTGTAACTATCATTTTTCATATGTAATAGATATACTGTAACATCGACCTAATCTGAAATTTTAGCAAAGTAATTGACAAAATACTAAAGTTTACTATACTTATATTTATATACTTTTAATGAATTTCAAGCAATTTCAAAATTTCAAAATTATAATATTGATAAATATTTATTAATATTAATATTAATAAATCGATACAGTATAATGTTATGATATCATAATAACCTAAAGGGTTATTCGATCAATTACTTCTCTTAATAATCTATCAGCATTTACATTCCCGGTTTCATTTGCTTTATTTAACCAGTATATGGCCTTTATAATATCTTTACTAGTTCCACGTCCTTCATAAAAGTACTTCCCAACCATATATTGGCTATTGGTGTATTCATTTTCAGCTGATTTTTTATACCATTCAAATGCTTTCACTTGATCCTGATTAATTCCATAACCATTGGCATATAAACGACCTAAATTATGTTGTGCCCTGGGATATCCTTTTTTAGCACCTTTAAAATACCATTTAAATGCTTCTATTTCATTTACTCCTACCACTATACCAGCGTCATAATAATATCCGATATTATTTATTGCATCCTCATTCTCAGCAAGGGCAGATTTTAAACACAATAGGAACCCTCTAACTTCATCTTTTGCTATTCCTATTCCATAAAAATAAAACGCACTAATATTAAATTGTGCAAAAGTGTCCCCTTTTTCAGCGGATTTCAAAAATAATTCAAATGCCTTTTCTTCATTTTTTTCAATACCAAACCCTTCATAATAAAAATACGCCATACAAATTGAAGCAATATTAGACCCAACATCTGCAACTTAGAATAGATCAGAAAACTTTTTTTAAATCTTTTTCAACACCTTTACCATATAAATACATATGCGCAAGGCGGATAATTCCAATTTCTTTGTTAATACTGTAAAATTTCCTTAATGAGAGATTCGAGGAGATATTCTTCATATGAATTCTTTCATTGGCAGCTAAATTAAAGAATTTAAATGCCATTTTGTAATCAATAACAGTTCCAATACCATAATGGTAAAAAATTCCTATGAGGCTAGTAAACCAATAATGAGACTGATATCTAATCATTTCATGTAAAATTTTAACTGGATTTAAATTATGTTCTCTAACATAATTTTTAATCGTAATTGGTCGCATTTCATGGGACTGAATCTTAAAAGAGTTAATAAAAAATTCGAATAATTTTTTAATGAATATGATATTATAATTATTAGTTTTAGTTGTTACGGAATTAACGGAAGGATGATTAAATTGTCTTTCTTCATTTGACTTTTCTAAGTTATTTGACTTGATATCAGAAATAATATTGATTTCAGAAAGATTATTAACAACTTCGAAGAAAACTGGTCGAGAATTTCCATGGTGTTTCAAACAATCTATTTAAATGTATCCAATTTACTTTAACAATTAATAATACTGTTAATAAATAATTTAAATAATATGTAAATTCATACCAGTATAAATTTCCTTGTATTTAGGAGGAATTCCAGATATACTCTTTTCCCTTTTTAGTTTTTCAATAGTATAATTTATCAAATCAATAATATTATTATTTGTTGGCAATGGTAATGATAATTTTGTTATTAATTCATCTTCAAAAGGAGAAATACCATCATTAGAAATTTCACAAAGAATAATTCCTAGACTGTAAATGTCTAAACTTTTATTAAATAATTCTAAATATCTAAAATCAGTATATTTGATTGGGATAGTAACGGTAGTAGTAAGGGATTTTAAATAGTTTATGCCAAAATCATTTAGTTTAATAGTCCCATTATGAACAAGAATACTTTCGGAAGTCTAAAAAATTATAATAAAAAAATAATCATAAAATAATTAAACCCCGAAATTAATTTATTCATAAAAGTTGATTAAACAAATAATTACCAATTTTCCATGAATAATATTATTATCATGTAAATTCATTAAAGCATTTGCAATTTGTTT